CCGCTCTCAGTCTCAATCACTGTAACTGATCTGTCAGGATTGATCTTTCACTCTCCAGAACAATGTCACTGTATGAAGAGTCTTCAGTTCCCCCGACAACTGCACAGCTACTCTTACAAACACATACTCACACTTGTGCTTTTTCATTATATACATATATATATATATATATATATATATATATATATATATATATATATATATATATATATATATATATATATATATATATTTTTTTTTTTTTTTTTTTTTTTTTATGGCTGTTTACATATATTATTTTAACAATTAGAATTTTATACATACATATGAAAACCAAAAAAAGTTATTTTGAAAAATTATGAAAACCTGTAACCATTGACTTTCATTTTATATATATATATATATATATATATATATATATATATATATATATATATATATATATATATATATATATATATATATATATCTTCTTTTTTAATAGAATTAAGAAACTCATAAAGGTTTAAAACAAGTGAGGTGTGAATGACCACATCTTTTTCTTTTTTGGGTGAACACTGCCTTTAAGTACACACACACACACACACACACACACACAATGGTTTTGCAGGTACATAGTCAAGGGCTTTGGGAAAAGATTGTGCTAACAGAACTGTCAGACCACTGAGAGGATGCTGATTTACAAAACCTAAAGCTAACATTTCAGCCTAAGCAATTTAACAAGCAGCAATATTTACCTAACTTTTATCTGCCTGGAAAGAGCAAAGCATATCATTTTCAGAATCAATTTTACACTTGCCCAGTAGAATTGTGCAGTTTTATAGAATAGTTTTTAATTATTTACCCCCCCCCCCCCCCAAATATAACTGTGATATGACCATAAGGCAGCCTAAAGTATTATAGTCTAATGAAAAAAAGTAGAAGACAAACTAAAATGTTAACCCAATTGTGCAACCGTGCCCAAATTTGTAAAAAATTGTTTCATGCATATATCCTATATGAACATGTTTTCGATTTATTTTCTCCAGGTTTTTGATTAATTATTTTATTTTATTTTTTCAAGAAAATCAAATTTGAATATAGCAACTATTGCCGGTGGACAAATATGTAGTAAGCAATGTTTAATGTAAAAATTGAATAGGAAGAGAAACACACAGTAGTTTCCCCAACAAAGTCCTGTGTGTCAAAAAGATAAAAGAAAAAGTTAATAATTATAATTATTTCAATATTATTTTTAATAAATTATATTTAATAATATAATTATAATTATTTCAGTCAATTATTGCAGTATTGAAATTTATTTTCATTTTTTATTTAACATTTTTTCTTAGTTTTCTATAAAACACAGACCCTGTTGCTTTTCAAAATCTTCACCTTGAAAAGAGTTTTTAAAAATGAGGGTTTTAGTGACCTGATACTGCATTTGTGTATGGACAAATCATGTAGAAAAAGCAGCAATTTTGACACCCATGTGTGTGTAGACCGCAGGGCTTAAGGTTGTGCCTGAATTCTATTGTAGTTTTGTGATTTTCTTCAGTAATTTTGCTTTTTACAGCAGGAGTTGATTGTTCTCTGTTTTATTTTAAATCATTGTCGCAGTCGGACCAGTAGGAGAAGTAAATTTTACTCGGACGTTTTGCTGTGTATCAAATTGTTAAAAAGTCTAAAGTAAAGATAAAAAATTAAAGATATTAGTTAATGGGTTATTATTAAGCACAAAAAAAGAAGGCAAGAAAAAAAGAAAACATGGCAAAACCCTTTTTTTTTTTTTTACTTATTAACATAATATTTCCTAATTCGCCATTATTTATGTGCTTACAAGTTATTTGCCCACCGGAAACTATAATTGCCACTTGACCATTTGACCTTTACTTCAGCCAGATAATTTGGCTAAATGTTCAACATTAGCTTCAAAAGATTTTCCAATTTTAGCACAACATTTTTTATGTAGTAATAATATGGCATATAGTAAATCATTTTAATCTAGGACTCATATTTAAAATGACAGTACTTTATTCATGACTAACAAATGTTTAATGCTCAAAACTGAGGTTGTAAGACAATTGTACATACCTTAAGCTTTTATGACTACATTTTTCCAAATATTTAACAATGTTTGTTTTATTGATGACATTTCAGCTATCATTAATCACAAGCCACTTCATTTGACACTTTTTAAAGATAAAGATACAAGCTCCAAAAGTTCAGAAACATTTAAACATTCAGCAACAATAAAAACAGCAGAATTATTGACCATGTGTCAACAAATGAACACTCTTTAACAGTTTTCACAGCACAGTCAATTAACAAGAGATTATATGATTGAATACTGATGTAGTAAAAAAACAAGAACTGTACAAAAATCTGAAAAAAAAAAAAAACTCAAATCAAAAACTACAACACCATAGTTTGTGCAAAATAACAGCTTGCGGTTGGTCTTTTTTTTTACACAGACCAATAATAGAAAGAATAAAAAGGCCGTACTAGTCTCTACGCTCATAAATCATGCTTATGATGGTTTATTATAGACACAGATCACAGAAAACATAAATTGAAGACCATTTATTATGCTAACATAAAGCGCTCTAATTAACACAGTCATAAAACAAAGTTGTTTAAAGAGTCTGCCATTGCACATAATTCCCATTTCCTTCTGGAAGAGAGTGTGACTGCAAAAATATTAGGCGGATGTACACTCACTAGCCACTTTTTTAGGTACACCTGTCCAACTGCTTGTTAACGCAAATTTCTAAACAGCCAATCATATGGCAGCAACTCAATGCATTTAGGCATGTAGACAGGGTCAAGATGATCTGCTGCAGTTGAAACTGAGCATCAGAATGGGGAAGAAAGGTGATTTTGAGGTGATGGTTGCCTGATCTGCTGAGTCTTGATTTCTCCTGCGACATTCCGGAGGTAGGGTCAGAATTTGGCGGCAACTGGTTTCTTGAACATGACAATGAGTTCACTGTTCTCAAACAGCCTCCACAGTCACCAGATCTCAATCCAATAGAGCACCTTTAGGATGTACTGGACGGGAGATTCGCATCATGGAGATTCAGCAACTTTGTGATGCTATCATGTCAATGTGGACAAAAAATCTCCAAAGAATATTTCCAGTACCTTATTAAAACTATGCCACAAAGGATTATGGAAGTCCTGTAGGCAAAAGGGGATCCAACTCAGTACTTGTACGGTGTACTTAATATAGTGGCCGGTGAGTGTATGTATGCATGTAAAATGGCCTCATGTTAAGACAGCAAGCCTCAGTCCAGTTATCGTCACCGTCATCTGATCTATAACAAATGAAGTCATGGATGGATTATGATGTCATCTAATGTGTTGATGAGGTGATGCGGTCCGTTTCTAAGCAATGGCATGGTAACCGTTTCCCAAGAGTTTAGAATTACCATAGATTTCTTGGCAGGAAATCCAGAATCTTCTCATTTCAGCATTAAAGCCTGATGTGATTTCAAGCCATCGGAACGTTCTTCAAGACGCTCAAATAGGTATCAACTGAGAAACATTACACATCCTGGTTTATGGTTTAAAGTTTGTGCTTATTTCTTAATGGTAAGAAGAATACAGTCACTTGGATACATGTTCATTAAAAAAAGAAATCAGAATAATTCCACAATCACCAATGTGGTCTCTTCAACCCTTGAAGTGCTTTCATAAAAAAAGGAAAGTTTAAGACAACTCTATGCATTTTGTCATGAATTTTTAAACCCACAAATACTGACTTTATTCAGTGTGTTTAGATTTATTCCCAATTTAAAATCCAACTCTACTAAAGCTAATCATTCTTTAAAAAAAATATTTTAAATGTCCTTGTACAAAAACAGCCAAAAACTTGTAGGTTGTGCAAGGAAGCTTTCTGCAACCTACATTTTCAGTTCAGTGCCCACTAGTTGAAATTATAGCAAATATATATTATGGAAGCCTGGTTATGGGAAATATGTTGAAATACAATTATCACAGAACACATTTTACCCACTGACTGTAAATCATTTTTCTGGTTTTTGACTTCATCCCTTCATCACCCCACACTTAAAAGGGCTATATGTAGATTTCAGAAACCACTGCTAGCTCATACTGCACACGAGAAACAGGAGACTGAATGTAACAAAGCACCCCAAATACAATATACTACAGTATTTCAATTTACTTTTAGTTCACAAATTCTATTAAAGCTTGTAATTTTTGGTACTAGACTGCCTAGTAGAGCTGCACAATATCTAAAAAAAGTATATGCAATATCCGTTTCAAGCGAGCGGCAATATTCATTCATTTCATTCTTTTTCCTTCGGCTTAGTCCCTTTATTTATCAGGGGTCACCACAGTGGAATGTACCACCAACTTATCAAGCATACGTTTTACACAGCAGATGCCCTTCCAGCTGCAACCCAGTACTGGGAAACACCCTTACACTCTCATTCACACACACATACACTAAGGCCAATTGCAAGAGTTCACACTTGGCTGATGATTGGTAATAAGCTAGTTTGGCATGCTGTCCCGGGAGAGAGCCCTGAGCCAATGAGATCCTCAAGCCCGGGGCTCCCTCCCGTTTGCAGGGCGAAAGGGAAGTTTGAGCTCCGGTATATCTCGAGAACCCAGCAACAAACGCCTTGTTGACAGAACCAGAACCAGCAGAAGACCACACCAGGTGCCACTCTTGTCAGTTAAGAACAGGAAACTGAGGCTACAATTCTCACAGACTCACCGAAGTTGGACAATAGAAGATTGGAAAAATGTTGCCTGGTCCATCCCTTTATGACCACTGTACCTATCTTCTTATAGTTACTTCCAGCAGGATAATGCATCATGTCATAAAGCACAAATCATCTCAGATTGGTTTCTTGAACATGACAATGAGTTCACTGTATTTAAATGGCCTCCACAGTCACCAGGTCTCAATCCAATAGAGCAACTTTGGGATGTGGTGGAACAGGAGATTCGCATCATAGAACTCACTATGTGATGCTATCATCTCAATAAAGACCAAAATCTCTGAGGAATTTTCCAGTCCCTTGTGAAATCTTTGCCACAAAGGATTAAGGCAGTTCTGAAGGCAAAAGTGGGTCCAACCTGGTATAGTAAGGTGTAGCTACTTAATAAAGTGTTCAGTGAGTCTATATACCATAAATACTGTTTTTCAACAGTCTGTGGGTTTGTTAGACTAGTCACAAAGGTTTACTTTTAACGTTAATTAAATTAATTAATCAACATCGTACATCCCTACTACAGACTAAACATCCACAAGATGTGATTTAAATGAATCTCCTTTCTTCGTTTGACACATTGACATTACAGTACGGCTCTTTCAGCATGATCTTAAGCATTTTTATAGCACTCGTTCATGTGCCAAAGAAGAAAAGAGAGGCTCTCAGGAGCGTTTGTAAACACCATATCCTTTTGTGTCCTTCACAACTACAGTATCAGTCTACAACCTTTCATAAACCTCACAATGGCAATAAAATACATGAAAATGCGTACATATAGCCCCTTTAAAGCAAAGCGTAGCCTTTCTCTCTGGCATTTAAGACTTGTTTAAAAGGTAATTTCAGCTAGTGTTAAGAAATAGTTTTCAAAATATTATCTAAAATGTGCTTCATTGTTTATGCCCACAAAGTCAGAATACTATTTTGTTCACCATAATTTTCTACTGGCCAATAACTTTCTTAATCCAGGGCACAAAGGCGGAGACTTTGGTGTATACCCCGGGTGCTTCCTGCAGGCGACACGCGTGACCCCATGATGTGACCCCATAAACAACCCAGCTCCCGCTTGGCCTCTCGCACACCAGCGGACCACCGCTATCGCCACGGCAGGAGTCCACACGCTGGGCATCATGGGACGAGCCGGCGCACAGCATACGATTGGTGAACTGCTCCGAGTAGCGCTGCTCACACTGACGCTTGCTCAACACAGAAATGGAGGCCTGCTGGAGAGTTTTGGAATATGCACGACCTGAGGATAAAAAGGTCAGAAATCCTTTTAACTTGCAGTCTGGAAGTGATCAGGCTTAACTGTTCAAGCATGCAACCAAGTGTGGAGTTACTTTGTTCTTAGTGCTGCAGCAACACATACTTCATTCATTTCACTTCAGAATACTGTTAAGGACTTGCTCGAAAACGCCACTGGTGATTTACAATACGACGTGGTCATTCGAGTGAAACCCTACTATCAGCACGTCACATGATCATCTAGATGCTTGACACTGACATTATAATTAGGCAGTGCAGTTTGGTGATGAGTTCCTGATGTTCTGTGCTGTCAGCCTCTGATTGCAGCTCTGTGTGGATGTTTCTACTGTCTCGTCTGTCTTTCTGTTTTGATGAGAGCAGACAGCTGGACAGGTGTGGATACAGAGGATACCGAAGCAAGCTTAATTGCATTGAATTTGCTCTTCTAGTATGCCTTAAAGGGGACCCACCTGTATTTTGCCCATGTTTTAAAGATGTAAAATAAGTCCCTACATTGTGTCTGTGCTCAAAATACCACATCATTTTTATAACATTTTGAAACGCCTTTCATAGGTTTTGTCCAGATTGTGCCATTTTAGTGACTGTTGCCACATAACTGTGTTTAAACTCCTTATACACGTGATTTTTACATAAAAGTCTCCTTTAATTCTTAAAAGTATATTTTCAAATTTAAATGGGTGGTCCACAGTGTATTTTTAAGGCTTGGTTGTGTGTGTAAGGTGCAAAGCAATGTGTGCTCATGCTTCATTTGGAAAAAATAATGTTATTTTTTCGATAAATCTTTGATAATATACATCTACTCAGCTAACATGAAAACAATGACCATATTTCCTAGTTCCTCTGAAAGGCCTGCCCTCTAGAGCCTCTGATTGGTCAGCTAACATAATGTGCTGTGATTCACGGAACAGCTCTACATCACCAAGAAAAGTATCATGCCTCCTCTAGCACGTGCTGAGCTAAAATCTGACAAGTGTCTTTCACATATATTCAGAATAAGCATGTGTAAGTAATATGAAACGTTCACATATCTTTTGCGACTTTGTCATCTGAGATGTAGAACGCAGAGAAAGCGGCTGCATACAAAGACACAGCAGCGCTAGTGAAGATTGTGGGTGTTTACAGGGGTTTGACGGATAAAATTGAATCTTGCTAAATTGTTGACGGTGCCAAACAGCATTTCCCGTTCTTTACATCCTTGTTTATGTCAATGCTACAACATACCGTTAACCGTAGACACTATGCATGTAAAAGTTGTTGCTCACAATCCACAGCTTTGTCTATTATAGTTAGAATTGTTCCTTCTTTGAGGAGTTTTTAGCGGAATCCAGTACTGGACTGGAAGATATTCTGAAAGCTGTCCTTTGTCAAATGCTAGAGCTATATATTTTTTTTATAATTAACTGGAACATAATTAAAATTAAACTGTGAGCACTACTTTTTTTGTATTGTGTCCTTTTGAAGCCTAAATACAGAAACAGAAGAATATGTGGAAATAGCAGTGTTTGGACAGCATTTTAGCTTTCTCTACTATAACATTATAGCACCTCTGACCATGCCTCTTCACTACCCAAGTGTATGAATCTCACTAACCCGAATATATTTTTTTTGTAGTCCCCAAACTTTGTTCACTGCAGGCTTTGTTAAGCTAACTCTGTTAAAGCCAAAGTCCCTCTTTGCATTGATCTACATTACATTCAGAGATGTCTGTTTATGTTCACACAGCTACATTACACATGACCTAAAGTTTAAAATATGATATTGTAGTGGACCACCCCTTTACAAAATGTACTTGTATCATGTAAAAAAGGCATTAGTATACTAAAGTACACAATGATGGCAATATGGATATTTGTATGTAGTATTAATAGAAGATTTATATATCTTTATATATATATATATATATATATATATATATATATATATATATATATATATATATATATATATATATATATATATATATATAAATTTTTACACCTTAAATGTGCACGTCACAAAAACCCATTACTCATAGTCATATCTTCATATCTTCTTTCAACTCATTAAAGAAACTCATAAAGGCTTGGAACACCTTGAGGGTGAGTAAATGATAATAAATAATTTGGGGTGAACTATCTCTATTTAAGGATTAGTTTACCAAAAACAAATTTTATTAATTACTCTCCCTTATGGCATTGCAATACTCTGAAACCTTCTTTCATTTGTCCATGATATTAACTTCATTTCAATGCATGGGATGCAGCAACCAATGTTGCAGTGCTTTATGAGAATGGGAAATGCAAGCAAAAAAAGGATGTGATAGCATTTTTTCAGTCATATTGAGCACGATTGTCTTGTTTAACTGTGCTTTCTCTCAACACGACCCATAACAATCACGTTAAATAGCTAGCATTACAATACCTGTTTTTTGTCCATTTACACTTAAAGATCAATCAGATCAAATAAGTTTCTGACTGTTTCTGAACGCTGTTAACAGTGGATGGCTCAAAGTGCTTACACTGTTTACTATTGTCAATGTCATTTGTTATCGAATTGACGAAAATGCATCTTAATATCAGTGTTAACCAGGTAAATCAGGTTCAAAATAAGCTTTGTCATGCTTTAAAGAAGTGCACTGCTACTGTTACATGTTGGATAATAAAATAACGAATAAAAATAAGCTGTGAAATAAAACAGCTGAAGATTTAAGTAAGTACTGTTAATTAACATGTACAATATACAATATATGGTTATGCTTATTCCATGTGATTATACAAAAGTGCACTGTAGTGTGTTTTTTCAACAAAATTTAAAGCTAATTTATTTTACATTTACTAAACTGCAAAGTCATTTCAAATGTGCAATTATAAATATATTTGGATACATTTCAGTAGAAATTATAATAATATTTTAGTTTATTAAAAAACACTTTTCAGTACATTGACTGTAGCTATATACATTATTAACAAGTACATAAAGTCAAACTGTTAGATCTTCACCTGCACTTGCACTCACGTAATATTTATGTGCATTCTTTTCCAGTAGATTACTTCCATGATACACAGTTGAAGTCACAATAATTAGCACTCCTGAATTATTAACCCCCTGTTTATTTTTTCCCAATTTCTGTTTAACAGAAAAAAGATTTTTTCAAAACATCTCTTAACATAACAGTTTTAATAACTCATTTCAAATAACTGATTAATTTGATCTTTGCCATGATGACAGAAAATAATATTTTACTAGATATTTTTGAAGACACTAGTAGTCAGCTTAAAGTGCAATTTAAAGGCTTAACTAATTACGGTATTTAGGCAAGTTAAGGTAATTAAGGTAAGTCATTATATAACAGTGGTTTGTTGTGTAGACCAGGGGTTCCCAAACTTTTTAGCCCGCGACCCCCAACAAATGACGCACACACACCAATAGACCCAAGTATATTCTTCGTTTAATCTTTTTAGTGTATGACAGTGCTGTAGATGGGCTAGAAAGTTTAACCTGGTGTTATAAAATCAATATGCTACATCTGACGGTATTGCTGTTACTTTAATATAATGTAATTACCCCAGGGGTCGCAATCCAATAAAACTATAAGCTACTATAGTAACTGTATAGTACATAGTAACTATAAACGACTATTTTTTCTCTTCAGTAGGTTATGGATAAAATATGGTAAATCTTACAGTTTACTAAAAATAAAAAGATTTCCGGAAATCACCATGCGACCCCCCCCCTTCATTGTCCCGCGACCCCTCGAGGGGTCCCAACCCCCACATTGAGAACCACTGGTGTAGACAATTAAAAAACAATATTTCTAAAGAGGGCTAGTTATATTGACCTTAAAATAGTTTTTAAAAAATAAAAAGCTTTTATTCTAGCCGAAATAAAACAAATTACACTTTTTACAGAAAAAAAAATATTATAGAAAATACTGTAAAAAAAAAAGTACTTGTTCTATTAATGGTAGAAAAAAAGAAATAAAATAAAGAAATAAAAAAATGACAGTAGGGCTAATAATTGTGACTTCAGCTTTATATGCTAAACTTCTCATGGCTATAAAATTGTTTGTAAGTGTAGATTATGTATATGAGGATAAATGTAACTGATGCTAGCTGCTAATATTTTGTTATCGCTCTCTGTCTCACTGGACATCTGGCTGGAGATATTTATAAATGACATCAGTTCACTGCCCCATAACCCCACAGACCACTAATATAAACTCTTTGGTGATTATGAACATGTTAAAATGGCATTCACGCCATGTGCTCATACATAAACCAGTGCTTACAAACAATCTCATGCAAATATGCAACGTTGTTTGCAAATACAAGTGAGGAAACAAATAATTACTAAAGGTTTGAGATGGATGATGTCTGAATGTTGTGGAATAGCAGATGTTTTACAGATTTTTTGTCATGTTCAGCCAACAAGAACAATTTTATGGCTAATTAAACAGTTCACCCAAAAGCGCAAATTCTCTGTATTTGACTCCTTTGACGGTCATTGCATTGATAACATTTTAAACTATATTCAAAAATATATTCTGTGAGGTCCAGAAGAAAGAAAACCACACAAGACTAGAGAAAGTATAAGATGATAAGTTTACTAATGACACCAACTTAACTGAAATTTGATTTCAGTTTAGTAATAGTTATACACTACCTGACAAGTCTTGTCATCGATCCCAGTTGTAAGTAAATTATAACTTGACTTCTAGTTGATCATTTGGAAATGTGGCAGAAGGTCGATTTTTCAGATAAATCATCTGTTGAACTGCATCCCAATCATTACAAATACTCAAGAAGACTTAATGGAACCCACAATGACCCACGATTCTCACAGAAATCAGTCAAGTTTGGTGAAGAAACAATCATGGTTTGGGGTTGCATTCAGTATGGGGTGTGTGATAGATCTGCAGAATGGATGGCAACACCAACAAACCTGAGGTATCAAGACTTTTGTGCTGCCCATTACATTACAAACCAGGAGAGGGCAAATTCTTCAGCAGGATAGCACTCTTTCTCATACTTCAGCCTCCACATAAAGGTTCCTGAAAGCAAAGAAGGTCAAAGTGCTCCAGGATTGGCCAGCCCAGTCACCAGACATGAACATTATTGAGCATCTCTGGTGTAAGATGAAGGAGGGAGCATTAAAAATTAATTCAAAGAATCTTGATTAACTCTGGGAGTGCTGCAAGAACGCTTTCTTTGCCATTCCAGATGATTTTATTAATAAGTTATTTGAGTCATTGCAGAGATGTATGGATGCAGTTATCCATGCTCATGAGAGACATGCACAATATTCATTCTTCTTCCAGTGCACCATGACTTTATATTCATCACTGTACATTATTTCTGCTAAATGACAGGACTTTTCTCTCAGCAAAGTCAAACCTTACTGTCCTAATTAAAAATCAAGGCATGACTGTATTTTACTTTGGTACCAAATGATCAACTAGAAGTCAAGTTATTATTTTTTGTTCCTGAAACTTGTACAGGCGACAAGACTTTTGTCAGGTAGTGTAATAAGTAAAAAAATAGTGTAATAAAATTTTAGTTTACCATTACTGCTTATCAATATTGAATTTTCATTCATTTTATTTCGAATAAAGTAGTTATAAAAATTATAAAACTGCACTTGAAGTTGTGCTCTAGTCCTACATAAGTGTATTAAAAGCATTAAAAGTCCAACCAGGGTTTAATAAAGGCTTTTTATAAATGTTTTACTGCAATTGTCCTGGAAAACAAATATACTGATCCAAATAATTTCAAGTCTTAATGAATTAAAAGGGTGATTTTCTGATTTAAGAGCTTTAAATCATAAAAAGGTAAATAAATATGTTTTAAGACACTATTAAGACCCACAGAAACTACTTGCATATGAATTTTATACTACGCTCAAAAATTAGATTTGCTATTTGTTCAAACTACTTATTTAAGTAATAACCTCAAACAACACAATTCTTAAGTTTTTCTTTTTTATTTTTAAGCAACTTAATTGTTTTATGTTCAATCCATTACAATTTGTAAAAACAAATAAATTAATAAATTATTTGTCCCAACACAAATCGACTTTGTGGAACCCAAAATATGTTAACAGTGCATGTTGCATTTTTATTCAGTTACGTTAAACTTTATATTATGTTTGTAAGTGTATTAGTTTTGCAAGTTATTTCCTTTAAGAGCAGGATTTTAAAATTGTTTTAAAGTGTACTTCATAAGTAAAGCACTTACTGGCATTATAAATAAATAAATGGCATTACACATTGGTGAAAACGTCTTGATTTTCTGAACTAAAATTGCTTGTGCTCTTCCTCATTTGTACTTGCTTTGGATAAAAGCAAGTTTTGAATGATTAAATGGCAGTGTCATCCCATATACTTGGCTCAGGAGTTTTGTTCTTGTCTTTCTGTGGGTGAGAAGGACACAGTGAGGGAGCGATTGTTTCAGACAGAACACTGAACAAAGACTCTGTGAAATCTTGCGGTGTGTGATCATCGCTGTCAGTTCTGCTTTCACACTCTCTGATCACATCTTATGCCTGTCAGACTGCACTATTCAACAGCACCCAAAACACCTACATTTCACACACAAACACCGCCTCAGCTTTTGCTCTAATTGTGGTCAAAACATCCTTCATTTTGAAATCTTGAGGCTGTCAGGCCGTCTGATATAACAGTTTCTCAATCTAATTCTCGAGTTTTAAAGCAAGTTTCAGTAAGCATGTGTTAAAAACTCATTTTGCAGATTTCTCTTCTCTATTGACATAGTAGGGGGATCTGGTTATATATTACCAGTCTTTAAAAGATAACTGCTTTTTTCAGAAATTTGCCTATTTTCCAACTCACCTAGTTAAACAGTTTTTAACCCATTCAGACAAGCACCGGGTCTAGCAAGGACAAATTTAGCTTAGCTTAGCTTAGCATAAATCATTAAATCAGATTAGACCATTAGCATCTCACTTTAAAATGACCAACAAGTTCCGATAATTTCAACACAGGCTCATTGTGACAATGTACCCCCATATAGTTTTCTGGAGAGCGCAAATTAAGTAGCCAGAGCTACGTATGGTTGCATTTCGTCTTTAAAACAAGCACTATGAGCACGTTACGACGCCCGATGGCTTCTGTTCCTTTTCATGCTAACATCTGCCCACTTACCTCCGTGTGGACGGTTTTTTTGCTGTTTACCAGTTTGCCTATTAGCTCACCATGTACGTCGGCGGACTTGAGACTTCTGTCCAGAAATGTATATAGCAGTACGTATCAATAATGAGCCTGGGTTGGATAATTTTCTTTTTTGGGGGTAGAGCTGTCACCTCACAGCAAGAAGGTCACTGGTTCGAGCCCCGGCTTGGTCAGTAGGCATTTCTGTGTGGAGTTTGCATTTTCTCCCCTTGTTCACAAGGGTTTCCTTAGGGTGTTTCTGTTTCACAAGTCCAAAAACCTGTGCTACAGGTGAATTGGGTATGCTAAATTGTCCGTAGTGTATGTCTATATGTCCTGGTCGTCCAGGTTGGGGGTTGAGCGTTGGGCTATCGACCCACCTTGTAAAAATTAGATGTCACAAAACACCAACATGGTGTGGCTAAATATCAACTTTGATATAAATGGTCCTGGGTGTAAGTAAGAGTAAGTAAACTTTTCACTTCTGTAGTTAAATTGTGTACTAAAACAGATGGTAAATAAAAGTTGCTATTTCTAGGCTGATATGCCTGGGAACTATTCTTTCATTCTGGCGTAATTATTACGGAATTTTGCTGCTGTACTATGGCTACAGCAGGCGCAATGATATTATGCAGCACCTGAAAAGCTAATAAATAGTCTGTGGAGTATTTTAAGCTGATTATTGAGACACATTCTACATATACCACAGATTTATTTTACATCTTTTAAAAAAAGTCACTTTTTTTCCATGTCCATTTTCCTTTTAATGTCTATTTTAAAGATAAAAGGACTGTGTGGATGCATAAATGTGTGGCCATGTCGTGATATAAAATAAACAGTTGTTTATTTTCAAGTATTGTAGATATTTAGCATTAGCATTTACTAAACTGAAAGAGCAATTGTACGAGCAAACAAATCTACTTTCTCATTATGTAGTTAATAACAAAATATATACTATGTGTGTTTGGTTGTGAGAGTAGTTTGGACAAAGTTGTCGCGATTCTTCTTTTGTAAAGCCGGGCAGTGTGAAACTCCCTGTCGCCGATCCATCTTGCAGTGTAAACAAAGCAGCGACAAAATGCTAGGCCAGATAGTCATGCAGTGTGAAATCATCTGTGACATGATTGCATTGGCATTAGGTTTGCTAATGAAAACACTATTGGTTGGGTTCAGAGAAGGGCTTAGATCAGTAGTTCGCTAGGTGATCTGTCCAATAAGCTCTGCAAGGATATGTATCTGAAATGTACAACAAAACGTACCCGTAGCAAAGTATTTTATATTTTGCAAAAAAAAATTTAGGCACATACTTCCAATGAGCCTGAGCTGGTTAATGCCTATTTGCATTTCTACGCTGTTGTATAATCATTATGTTATCCGGGACATAAAATGGTCTTAAAATGAGAACACTAGCACTTATCGCCATATTTGCTGTGACAATATATATGCACAACAAAATAACTTGAATGTGTGTTTCATGCTACGTATCTCTAACCTGTATCTCCCCAGCCTGTGATGTAGCAGTTGGCAATGCCCTTTGGCACTTTCTCTCTCCGCACTGGTAAACAAGCGGGCAGCACTGATCGGCTCAGTGTGACGCATTGGCCCGTGACACCCCTGTGAGCTCTGTGTCCAGAAACACGCAGAAGTGCCAGGTCATAGTCACTACTGTCTGCATGGTAGCGTGGGTGAAGGACGATCTTCTCCACGGCATACTCTTCCTCATACTCCTCAGGGACCAGAGAGTGATAATCACCAACACGAACTTTATACAGCCCTGTGCTGTTCCCATACCTGAGAAAAAGCATATACCAAACATTCAGTATAACTAAACCTCAGAATTGTTATTGACATCACCAATTGTTTTGTAAACACATCCACTCATGAATTGAACATCTGTGCAGAATATAGTTACGATATTGGTTATCTGCTTTCATTGGAAACTTTGCTAGAAACCTAATCTAGCAAGAATGTATGACACCCAAGTAATTACTTGTTTATGGTAGAAGTTGGGTTAAGGTTTTGAATAGGCTTAGAGTGCCAGAATAAGGTAATTCTGCTACTAATTAATAGTTAATATCTTAATAATAAGCAGGTAATAAGCCAGGAGTTAATAGCATGAATTATGTCATAAACTAAGTTGTTACCAATTAATTAAATGTGACACTTAAGAAAGTTATAATTTTACCTCATATTTGTTTTGAAAATAATTATACTAGAACTTCTTTTTATTCAAACAATTCCGAAATAAATCGTAGTTTCCACAAAATTACTTCCTTAATCTTAAGCTTCTTCATTACCAAATACTAAATGTGTAATAAAAGAATTCCTATTATTAAAATGTGTTTATATTATTATTATTATTATTATTATTATTATTATTAAATTATATAATAATAAATTGTATTATTATCCACAAAAAATAAATAATTTATTAAACATGAGAGTAGAAATATATAGTATTTTACTTTCTTTAAAAAATCTTTAAAACAAATCTAGAATTAATTTTCTCACTCCTCATGATCGCCAAGTCAGCATATTATAATGTTTATTATTAATATTATTATTATTATTATTATTTTAGTATTAAATATTGTGTTGTAACAATATTTCCAAACCCTGGCTGGGTCAGTTGGCATTTCTGTATGGAGTTAGCATGTTCTCCCAGTGTTTGCATGGGTTTCCTCTGGGTGCTCCGGTTTCCCCCACAGAATTAGATGTGTGTGAATGCAAGAGTGTATGAGTGTTTCCCAGAGTAGGGTTGCAACTGGAAGGGCATCCACTGAATAAAACATATGCTGGATAAGTTGGTGGTTCATTCTTCTGTGGTGACCCCTGATTAATAAAGGGACTAAGCAGAAAAAAAATGAATGCATTGAGTAATGTTTCCCAAAAGTTCACTGAATTTAGTTTTACACAATTTTAAATTTCAGATCATTCTAAAACCATTTTATCAATCATAAGATTCACATAAATCCAATGTTTCCATAAAAACAAAAATCTAAGAATTTGACCAGTAAGAAATGTTTTAAGAATCAAATCAACATGATAATTAAAAAATGATATTGTCGAAAAGTATTTGTATTCAATATCATTTAATTAAAGGACAACGCGGTGGCTCAGTGGTTAGCACTGTCGCCTCACATTGCACTGTGGTGACCCCTGATAATCAGAGACTAAGCTGAAGGTAAATTAATAAATAAATTATTAAATTATAATGCTACACTGAAGTAAAAAATAAAAAAAATGTGTAAAAAATCCAGTCCAACCAGTTTATATCAGAAATAATAAATAACCATTTGAGCAAGTTCATTCTCTATTTTTATATTATATTATATTTTTCTGACCAATAAAAATACTAATAATTTAATTTTGAAAATGAAATGTAATCTTTAATCTATTCATATGAAAATCTATTTGTGGCAATACATTAAAAAACGCGATGCCTAAATTCACTTCAAATGATTAATTTAGCATTTTCGTGATTTATTGTTCCTTATACTATCTTTTTTGTATTAGTATAAGGCAAAATGTCCAAATAAAAATAATACAATAAAACGTGTGCATTCAGCAAGACTGAACAGAATAAACTGAATTTATCATCAAACCTGGATGAAAATGGCCCCTGCACAGCAGTGTAATACATTATCACAGATGATTTATGACTTTTCAACATGCCACTCAAAACGCCTTCACATGACAAATCAGGTCCCTTCCTCAGGAAGTTTATGTCAACTGATCTTAGGGTCCCAAAGCCAAAGCATGTGCACTTACACACATTCACACCAACACACACTTGCAAAACCACTCTGGGGTCACACGATCAGTTGGTAAAAACAGAGATACAAAGGACGTTTTTTTTCCATAAACTCAAGACTATGACATCATACTCAAAACACTCAAGCAGTGATTTGAATGAAACGGAAAGCCTGCTGTGATTACCAGTCTTTAGTATGATGTTTTTTTAATGTAAGGTTTATTTGCTGTCATTGGTGAGATTGTCGTATCTTCTCATAGATAATTGTAATATGGCCTGTGGTAATGTAAAAAATGAGAAAAGGGTAGTTGTTTTTTAATAAACAGTAAACAAATAAACAAAACAAAAAAAAGAAATGCATAAGATTAAGCATGAGATTTTTTCAGTGGGACATTTTTTTACTCAGTAAATAATTTTCTTAGATAGATAGATAGATAGATAGATAGATAGATAGATAGATAGATAGATAGATAGATAGATAGATAGATAGATAGATAGATAGATAGATAGATAGATAGATAGATAGATAGATAGATAGATAGATAGATAGTGTGTGTATGTGTGCGTGCGTGCGTGTGTGCGTGCGTGCCTGCGTGTTGTGTGTGTATGCACCCACACCCTGTCTGCTTGTTAGTGATTGAACCCATTGCTGTGTAACGGAAATATGTATGTGGTGCCAGAGAGAGAGACGGCAGTGTCCCGTTACGCGGTCAGGTCTTTTCTGGAAAGGGATCTGGCCTGTCCGGAATGACACTCTTGGTCTGGCAGGAATCAGAAGCAGGATCAGCAGTACATTCCCACAGCCCCTTCATAAGAGACACTCAATATATTACACTTCTAACACTCACAATCTGTGTTAATCCATACTGTAGTGCTGATCTTGAGCAGGTTATTAAAAGGTTATTCTGTCTGAGACACGGCCAAGTGGGTATTGCTCCGACATGCTGCACTTGAACCCAACTGTGAATGAAGATCATTTCTCAATAACAACCCCCCAAGCCGTTCTCAGCTCGCTGTAGGGTCACCTCTCCACCTTCTTATTTCATTAAAGGCATAGGCTCTGATTGGTGGACTATTCTAAATTTAAAGTGGTTATTTAGGCCACTGTGTTACAGGTACACCTTCTTAATCTTAGGTTGGACTCCTTTTTTGCTTTCAGAACTGCCTTAAATTTTTAATTTCACAGATTTTTAACAAAGTGCTGTAAACATTCCTCTAGGATTTTGGTTTATATTAAGACAGCATCACACAGTCACTGCAGGTTTGTCACCCTCATAATGTGAATCCACCATTCCAGTACATTCCAATGATGCTCTGCTGGTCTGGAATCTGCTGTAGAGGCTGTACAGCAAGAGTGCAAACTCAGTTTCTGGGGGGCGGCAGCTCTACAGAGTTTAGTTCCAACCCTGCTCCAACACACTTATCAGTAAGTTTCAAACAAGCCTGAAGGACTCAGTTAGTTTGACACGGGATGTTTAATTAGGGTTAAAGCCAAAGATGCCTAAAGCAGGGCCCACGGGCCAAAGTTGGCCCATGGTAACCTTTGATTTGGCTCACCATCCCATCTGAAAAAAGAGAGAGAATGTTGGTGGTTGGGGCGAATGCCTTTGACAAAAATCATTGGGGAAAAGGATGTATTTTTATTATTTTTGTCTATTTTTCTTTTCATCAAACAATTATTTGTATTGGTCAATTAATGGTCATATATTAACTGAACTTCTACAGTTGTTTGTGGGATGCTGCGCATACTAATTAGCATTTTTGCAGAAGTAGATAAATGCTGGTCCAAAATTAAATTCAGCTCTGCAGAAACGTCCTTTCTGAAGAAAAGGTGTTAAAACTGAACACAGAGCACAGAAAGTTTCAGGCTTTTATTGTTGAGCAAAGAATTCGTATAGAAAAAGAGGACTTATGTCTGGGGTGCGGCCAATAGAGGACTGGACAATGATTAACATAAATGACACAATGAATGATGAATTTCACTAAACTCCACCTGTTAATATCAGCTGCCTATATAAGTTGAAGTCAGAAAATGAAAACTGCTGCGCACCTCCTTAATGTAACTGTTGCATTGCATTGAGAATAACAGAATTCTGTGAATCGAATTATTCATTTGTATCCAATAAATTGTTACAATTTTTGACATTGAAGAAAACCTTCTCCTGACCTTTTTTTCTTGAACACACATGGAATTAATTGAATATTTCAACATCGTCAATTTGAATTTTGAATTTAGTGTAATCTTTTGTTTCTTAGTTTTATGCTGAACTACAAAAAAGGCAACTAAAATTAAATTATTCAATTAAATGTTGTAAATGAAATTTTAAATTGTAAATACTGTCTCTTGACATACAGTACATCTGACATTTACAAGCATATCAAGTTAATGGCAGGAGCTTGACTAATGCATTCAGAATTAAATTACATTGTGTTATAAATGGAATTGTTTATGTTTTTACAGTAATCAGTTCATTATAAAATGTAAAAAAACATACTGCATTAGATATTAAATATGATTTAAAGCAATGTTTTTTAAATATTATCGAATAAATAAGGAAATTCCCCATGGCAAATTTAATGTAATAACATTTGGTGTATATTCTGCCCACAGCCCTCAATGAAGTTTGGGTTTTCTTTAAAGGACAAGGTTTGAACACCCCTGGTTAAAGCTAAACTGTGCAGAGCTGTGGTACCCATGTAACTTGGTTTGACACCTTTAAAGTACAGTATGAGAATAGTGAACCCCTGTCATGTTCATAAACACCAGATGATTTTAGCTTTGTAACATGTTTTGTTATGCTGCTGAGAGTAGACATTTCCAATCCTTGTTACTCAATCCTGATTCTCACAACCCCCTCGCTGCACATTTTATTTGTTTCACTATTTACATCAGACATTTGTTCTCATTTAACAACAAGTGGCCTGCAAAGTGGACTTCATATGGACGTGACAGTGTCTTGACATCCTTCAGTTTGTTTGAAGGAAGCATGTTACATTAAAATGCATTTTAGTGTATGATATGTGAATTTATATTGTA